ATGACACTCATTTCCTGTAGCCAGCAGCAACGGCTGTGTTTCTTTGTGGAGTCTCAGAAAACTGCACTTCCAACTTAAAATATACTGTGTTATCTCGTTTTCTACAGCCATCCATCTCCATAAGATTCTATATGCAGACACGTTTTAGTGTTTAACTGTGTCTGTTGAAGCTTTTCTGTGATCTCACAGTGACTCCCATTCTGAGGATGAAGAATGAGTTGAAAAGTAAAATGCCAATTTTGTTTTTAAAATAATGCTAATTGAGCCACATGATACAAAACACATGTGAGCCTCTCAAAGTTATGTTTCTTGAGTCCTTTTCCCCAAATTCCTAAGATTTTTTAAATGGCTTAGATGAAAAGAAGGGTGGTTCTTGTCAATTTAGCAGCCACAACTCTGAAGGCAACTGTTTCTCTAGAAAGGGAGTCCAGCTCCAGGACAAAATCCAATGTGTTATCTTTCAGGCCTAAACCATAGGCAATTATAAAATCTTTGTCTGGAAAGCCTCATGGGGTAATACATAGGTGCCCAGCCTATGTATTACAATCTCTGGAAGGGACTGTCAAGAATTCAGCCCCCTAACTTCTCCCCTCCCTGAGATTCCCCCTGGCCATGTCACATGTATTTCTGCTTTCCCAACCTAGGTGCCTCTGTTCTGAGGCCTCTTTATTGGGGGATCGGAAGTGGGGGGGGTGGCGCTACTGAGACACTTTTCATTTCTCCTTGTGGCATGGGGAAAACCTTAACTAAAACACTTTTCTCCACTATTTTTCCACTCCTAGGCCTTCCTCTAAGCCAAAGAAACAGTAGTAGTCTTTTGTGCTGGGTTCCTAGGTAGTGAGATGCTTCTTCCCATCTGTGCTGCATGTCACTGACTGACCCTTGCCTTGGTGTCATTCCTTGGGGAAAGGGAACACTGAAGAGCCAGCCCTTTTCTTTTTGGCCTCTTGCTTATACTATTGTGGTAAGTGAATAAAGCCTGGATTGTTCACTTCAGTTTGGCTTGTTGTCCTAACTGACCACTTCAACACCTGTCAGCTCAACACTAGGGTGATGGGACTCTGATTTTGTTTTCTCCTAGCAAAATATAAATACCATAGAAAAATTAAATGGAATTAGTGTAGTACTACTGGTTATCTTGTACCAGCAGACATACATGATCACTTCCTAGCAACAGAATTTTATAATCAACCTGTTTGCAATATTAACTCAAACAAAAGAAGTACCTGTTTTCCTATGTTAAATTAATAGCCTCATTTAATATTGAAGGTTGGTTAGTTGAAAAGTAACTACAAATCTAAAGGAAAAAAAGGTGAATTTTCTCTGGTTCTAAAAGTGAAAGAGACTTTCTCCTCCTTTTCTTGCAGCATTTCCTTTGGAAAATTTTGTAGTTGTAAATCCTTTCTCAGTCTCTTTAGGAAGAATGTAAAATTTTAAGATTTATGTCATACTCTTGCCAATTTTACATCCTAGGAATGTCTGCCTTTGGAGGCTTAGAACCATCTCTTTGAAATGTGAATATTAGAAGAGGCCATGCCTTGTCTCTATGTCTTGTTGAAGTTTAGCCCAGGCTCCTGGCTCTAAATTGTAACTTCCTGCTTGTCTAACAATACGAGAAGTTTTATTTTTCCTTTGGATGAAGACAATTCACATGTATGTAATGGACTGTACCTGCCAGGCTGTATAAAAGGGTGAGAATTCTTTCTGTCTTTGCAATCTCTTCAGTAGATTGCCTATAAGGCACATCACAGTCTAGATGAATGTTTATTCAATAACAAAACTTTCTTTTTTTTCCTATATATGTGGAAGGGATTCACCAGATTGAAAGATTTTATTTTTAATTATTTACCCAACATCAATTCTTTGAAAAAATATTCTACCTCTGCCACTTAAGAAAATAAAAATTTGAAAAGATTTACTTTGAAAAAATGTTTTCATTGGGTGTTTTGTTTGGTTCTAATTATTAGTGTGGTTGAGAATGTCAGATCTGGTGCCAGAATGATTGCATATAGATCTGATTTCTTTCCAAGTTCTTCAATGTATCACCTGTGTGATGTGAGCAAGTTATCTAACATTCCTATTGTTTTTACATCTAGAGACTACAAAAACACACATATTTTCTTCAAATTCAGCAGAAAAAAATGCAGCAGGGATTGGTTCTGAATAATAATTTTAAAGGCTAATAGTGAAAATTCAACCTAAAGACCAGAGCCCAAAATAACATAAAATATATATAGCCAATTCTTGTTATTTGTGGTAGTTATGGTCTATAAAGTCACTATTAACAATGAATTAGCCAAGACTGAACAACCGCTCCTAGGGGAAATACAGGATCAGGTTCCTGCGTGCACTTGGTCACATTTCCTCAGCCGATAAATATATAACCTAATTTTATGTGTGTTAATGTTTAGACACAGCTAATAGCACTATAACTCACATCTAAATGAAGTTCACCTAACAAATGTATTTTCTCTGTAAGGCACATCGCAGCCTTCTTGTGTGTAGGGGGGACACTAGACATCACTTTAACACTATGCATGGGGGCCATCTTGAAGAAACTGCCAACAAAAAGCAAAAACTGCAAACAAAAAAAAATTGGCATTGTGATAATAAAAAGGATGCTTGTTTACAGTATGAAAGCTGAAACAAGAAGGCAGAGTTTCACCTTGTTCAACAGCTAGAAATGTGTGTGCTAGGCTTGTCAATGAATGAGTATCAAAGTGCCTCAAATATTGATTCTGGGATTAAAAATAAATTTTAGCAGGTAGGCAAATTCACAAATATGAAATCCGCAAATAATAGGATTGACTATATTATCTCTCTCTATATGTAGGTGCATGCATGGATGTGTGTGTATATCTTCTCTAATATACTTGCCTTGAGGTCAGTAAGATTCCTTTGTAGGGGATCAGGATATGCCACTCCAAAATATGCCACCTGGCATAAGAAATGCTTTAAGCTGAAGGGATTTGAAAACGGCAGGTGCATTCTCTGACCTCCTCCCTTCTCTCCTGATGCAGACTATAAGACCCTCATGTGACAGGTACCCTCCCTGTACCAGGAGGAAAGGAGCATCTTTATCTCTGAAGACAGAGGGATGCCAAGAAGAATCGGAGTTTCTCCCAGTTTACTACCCTTATCTCCTACTCTTTTGTCCTATCATATTTTTCCACAACTTTCCAGTCTTTATCGAACCTAGTATAAAAATGCTTAGGCTTAACTGCTTCTTCAGGTCTTCATTTCCTTATGGAGGCTCCCACGTCACGTAAAACTTACATTCAATAAATCTGTATGCTTTTCTAATGTTAATCTGTCTCCACCATTTCAATTTTCAGCCCCAGCCAGGGACCCTAGTAAGGCTGACAAAAAGTTTTTCCTCCCCTACACCTTCTCCTGACTTTTTACCTTCCTACATTCTCCTTTTACCAGTGCTTCTCAACCAATTTTCCCATCTCAGTTAATATACTAACAACTATCTAGTTATTCAGGTCTAGAATTAAAGAGTCTTGATTTTTCCCCTTCGGCTGCCTATATCCAGTCCATCACCAAGTCCTATCAATTTTACATCTAATATTCTCAACACTTCTCATCACCTCCACTACTGCCACATTTGACCATGTCACCACCATCTTTTGTCCAAACTAACACAATGGCAATGCTCATACTGTTTCACATTTAGTATTTATATATCAAACTGTCTTATTTATTTTTACTGTTCTCCCTTCATAATATCTCCATCAGGGTGGGGACCTTTACTATTTGATTTACTGCTACAATTCCCGTACCCGGAAAGCCAAGCAGATGGTAGCAGGGACTATAGGCAACCAAACTGTCAAGCAATAGTAGGAAGGAAAAAAATATATTAACAAATAAAGCAGACTTTCCAAATCTTCCACTTCTCTCTTATTTTTAAAGTTTCCCTTCCCTACTATCTTAATTTAACTCAACATGTAATTCTTGGATGTCCAGAATACTCGTTGTTCACTGTGGCATGTATTGCCACAGGAAGGAAAATAGCTGTCAATGAAAACTGAATCAGCTTATGATAATACAACTGATTTAATACATCTAATGCATATATTAGCTCATATAGTTTTCAAAATATTTCATCCCAATGCTCCCCCACTATTTCCTCAAGTGCCATTCCCTTGAATCAAACAGTACACATAGATAATCTTCAGAAAATGCCATCACTATTTGAGGACCAGTGTTTTGAAATTCCTCTAAGTACATGCTTTTCAAAGTCAAGAAAGGTGAAAAAAGAGGGAGATGTGAATGGCTCACTGGATTCATTCTGATATTTTTTTAAGTATGATGAAGCTACATATTCTTCAAGTCATGACAACCACTAACAAAAATTTGGGGCTTCTCATTTCTAACTTCAGTGATCCTCTTGCAATTCCTCCATGATTTCCAAATTTTTTTTTTTTTTGGTTGAGGAAACCCTTGGTTAACCTCACAGATTGCAAGGACCATGTCAGCTTACAATCCCTTATCATTATTATTATTATTTTTTACGCCTACAGCACCTGGTCTTCCTAGGTGGTCTCCCATCCAAGTACTAATCAGACCCAACCCTGCTTAGCTTCCAAGATCAGACAGGATTGGGCTTATTCAAGGTAGCATGGCCGTAGACCCAAAGACAATTTTCTAGTTAAAATCTTGCCTTTTATATTGCATCAGGCAACTACTTGTTCTTGTTCTTATTGAAGATGAACATACAGCCAAATCCAACACACTAGAAACTGTTTTTAAACTATGGAACCAGAATGATTCCTATTTAGTGCCATTTCCCACCATCAGCATGATAATTTCAAGCCAAGGATGCTATCAGGTAAGCTGACAGGTAATAAAAATAACAACACAAAAGCCTAATAAATTTGTAATTTTGGTAAAATATAATTACTTGATATTTTTCTTAAGGGCTTTCTCCAGTTTCTTCACCTGTTGTTTATAAAGTCTTAATTCATGCTGTGTGGGCCTGTAGAAAATAAATCATGTTGAATGCATTCAATTTATTGAATAAAACTATAAAAGTATTTAATAATGAACAATACAGTATACCTTGTTACTTGTCAAAATATACTTATTAAAATTCTTAAAATATTTCATGACTGCTAGTGAGATGTTAATTGGCTGTTGGATTTTTTTTCTATATTCCTTGCCAAAAATTTTTTACCATTTTTATTGTTGTTAATCTATTGCTTGTTTTTATAGTGAAATATTTCATATGTACAGATAATAGAGAATAGTAAAATAGTAGTTTATCTTCCACTCGACTTTATCGAAGTTGAATATTAACAGATTTGTTTCAAAGTTTACCTAAAACATTATACATATACTTAAAACTCCATATATGTCCCTCATTCCTCTCCTTCACATAACACAGGTAACCATTATCCTGAATTTACTGATAGTGAAATATTTCATATGTACAGATAATAGAGAATAGTAAAATAGTAGTTTATCTTCCACTCGACTTTATCGAAGTTGAATATTAACAGATTTGTTTCAAAGTTTACCTAAAACATTATACATATACTTAAAACTCCATATATGTCCCTCATTCCTCTCCTTCACATAACACAGGTAACCATTATCCTGAATTTACTGTTCATTATTCCCATGCATGTTTCAAAATTTTTACTATATATTTATATAATCATAAATTTACATATTACTATGTGAACTTTATATATTGTTTATACTGTAGGTATCAATCCCCTCTCCATTAAAGTATAAGCTTTATGAGAACAAGATTTCTTTTTGTTCATTATGTTATACTAGAGCTTAGGACAGTGTCTAACTTATAACAGGTGTTCAAAAATATTTGTTGAATAAAAAAAGTCAACAATGTTCATTCCATATTACTCTCAACATGTAGAGTGACATCCTTTTGTGGTAGTATGCTGGACTTAATATGCCTTTCTGTCGTATGCCATTTAAGCTTTTTAGTTTTCTTCTCCGCCCACAACACAGGAGTAAGATGAAATAATAAGATATTCTAAACTAATTTGGGAATGGGAAACTTGCTAGTATAAGACTGAATGTACTCTGAGTTCCTATCCAGTCTTATCTTCTTCATTGTGAATTCCTATTTTCTCACTTCCTTTGCCTACCTATGTGTTCTTATTCTTTCCATCATATGAGAGACAACTGACTAAAATGAGTATAAGAATATGAGTTTCCCCAAGATTTTCTGAGTAAAGGGTCCAGAATGATTCATGTAACATTCCAAATTCCAGTAAGTGTTTACTTTCCAAAGGTTAAATAAAAATGACTTGTTTCTCTCACCTGATTTCCAAATCTTTTTGGAGATTAAGCTTTTCACTTAAAAGTGTATCAATCTTGGATTTCGACTCCTTGAGCTGATTCTGTAATGACTAAATAAGTTTCATAGAAAAATAGTTAACTTTCCTAGGGGATTATCATTTCACTTTATAAAAAAGCATTTATTAGCCATGAAGTCTCGTACCATTAGGAGGCCTTTATATGTTGGTGAGGCGTCAAGACTTCTGTAGTCTCTTTCTTCTTCTGACTGACTTTCATCTTCATTATATTGCCTATGAAAAAAAAATATATGCAGTGTCCTTATGAAAAATCTATCTTCAAAGAAAAAGAAATCTAGCTAACAAAAATTAAATCAATCCAATAAGGGTTTAAATTAAATTAAATTAAAATTTAATTTAATTTAAAAGTTTAAATTAAAATTTAATTTAAAACCTAAATTAAAATTTAAGTGAAATTTCCTACTTGTTCTCTAGAGAACAGCATTGAGTACCACCACCAATATTATAGAATACATCTGTTCACTAGCATCTTAATTAGAATGTGAGATGCACGCAAACCAGAGCTTTGTCTGCCCTGTTCACCATTGTATCTCACTGCCCAGAAGGGTATGGGGCATAAGATAGAGTGAAATAAACAATACATACTGTTTTTTCCTTCTAGTACTTTTAGATTACCAGAAAAAACACTATATGAAAAAATGTAGAGTATAAATGGACAAAGCAAAAGATTTAACAGTCCCGATTTCCTAATGAATGCTATTCTGACTTGCTGCAGAACAAAATGAAAAAGCTGTTGGTTCACAAGTGACAAATAAAAAACAGATAAATTAGACTTCATAAAATTTTAAAAATTATTGAGCTTCCAAAAACACCATTGAGAAAAAAGACAACCAATAGGAGAAAATATTTGCAAATCTGATAAGAACTTGTATCCAGAATACATGAAGAACTCCTGCAACTCAACAACAAAAAGACTAATAATTTAATACTGGGCAAAGGATTTGAACAGATATTTCTCAAGAAAAGATATGCAAATGACAATAAGCATAGGAAAAGACCCTCAACATCATTAGCCCTTAGGGAAATGCAAATCAAAGCCACAATAATGTAACACTTCGAATCAACTAGCATGATTAAAATTAAAAAGACAATAAGTGTTGACGTGGAAAAATTGGAACCCTCACACACTGCTTGGCAGAACTGTAAAACATAAAATTAAATGCAGCCACTTCGTAAAACAGATTGGCAGTTCCTCAAAATGTTAAATACTTAAATGTTACCACATGACCCAGCAATTCCACACCTAAATATATATCCAAGAGAGGTGAAAACAAGTCTACACAAAAACCTGTGAACAAATGTACATAGCATCATTATTCACAACTGCCAAAAAGTGGAAACAACCCAAATGTCCATCAACTGATAAAAGGATAAACAAAATGTGGCATATCCATATACTAGACTATTATTTGGGCATAAAAATATGTGAAGTACTGATACATGCTATAATATGTATGAGCCTTGAAAATATTATACAAAGTAAAAACCAGTCATTAATGATCATATACTGTGTATAATTCTATTTATACAAAATATCCAACAGGCAAATCCATAAAAACAGAAAGTAGATTAGTGGTCGCCTAGGAGGTGGGTTGCAAGGGTGTAGGAGCCAAGGGCAGGGAGGAGATGGGGAGTTATTGCTAATGGGTATGGGGTTTCTTAATAGGGTGATAAGCAAGTTCTAAAATTTATTATGGTGACAACGACATAACTCTGGGAATATACTAAAACCACTGAATTATACCTTTAAAATGGTCAATTTATGGCATGTGAATTATACCTCAGAAAAGCTGTTATTTTAAAGAGCTGTGATATAAAAAACATTTTAATAAAGTAGACCATGTTAAGAGGCATTTTCAGCAAATACGCAGTGAATTTAACAGTCTCCTCTCAAAATTCAAAAAAGCATCGAAGTTAGCCACCAAAATCAGATTTTAACCATCCAACAAAAACTTTTAAAATAATGTTTTTTTAGCAGAATCTGAGCTTGTAACTTTGGCCAGCTCTAAACCATTTTGAAGTCTTGCACAGAAACAGAAACTGTCTTTAGATGTGAAGATAATAAAATAAATACTTTGGGTAAGGAAACTGTAGGAAAATTATGAGGAAATAAGTTTTGTTAAAAGTGAAAGATCTTCAATTAAACCCACAAAGAACCATCTGTAAAATACAAGACCTTTCTTATAATATTAATGATCAATTAACCAAAATTTGAAAAATTTCAAGTACTTTTCTTTATCTTTAGATGAGTCATGTGCCCAATTAGTACTTTGGGAATATTTTGTCTCAAAAAGCTTTCCAAATTTACTAAAAAGTGTCGTCAGCTTGAGACCTAAAAAAATCAAACTTGTGGTGTATGTGTTTTTGAATTTTGCATATTTGTCAAAGAACTTCAGGCTAGATATGAAAAAATCATTTTTTATCACAATGAACAGTTTTGTAGATCAAAAATCTAGATTTATTGGAAGTTTTAAAAAGACTTTCTCTTATTGCTTTGTTATACTGTATTAATACATATGTATAGGAAATATTTGTGCTCAGTTTTCTGAAGCAGACTATGAAAAGTGTCATGGATACAATTGTTAAAATTATTAAACACATGAAAATGCTATGTCAGTTTGCAAAACTGTTGAAACAAATAGAAGACACTGAATATAATGATCTTGTATTTTGGGCCATGAAAGTTATTACAAAGATTTACTGTACTGTTAACCTGAATTCAATATTTTCTTGAAAAAAAAAACCTGTTTGATAATCAAAGACATAAAATGGTAATGTGACTTATGTTTTTTCACCAAAATCACTGTACATACGATAAGCTAAGTTTGAAGCTAAAGGAAAAGCATTATTTGTGACTAGCTGATGTGAGAATTTATATTGAAATAGAAACTTTTCATAATACAAATCAATAATACTGATTTTACACATTTTTCTAGTATGAATCAATATGTAGATTTTAGTTTTAATCAGTAGTGCATGTAAACATAAATTCACTAGCTCTTATTCAGATAGGTCTTGCAAAATTGAGAAGCACCTCTAGATCTATCAAAAGTATCAAAGTTCCTATTTCAATATAAATTCTCAAAGTTTTATAAATGTGAATGCAAATATTAAAGGAATAACATTTTTAAATTTAGTTTCAAGTATACGGTACATTGGTTAGACATCAATATAGTTCATAAAACGATCCCCCAATTACACCTTTCCTCCCCTAACCCTCCACCTAGCCAACATATTAATGCTACTGCACTCCATATGCTATACTCCCCATCCCCGTGACCAGCTAATTTGTACTTCTTTAGCCCTTCACCCCATTCTCCCAGGCCCCCAAAGCCCCCTCCTCTCTGTTCGACACCAAATTGTCCACTCTATTTGTGAGTCTGTTTTTGATTAGTTTGTTCTTTTTATTCCTTAGATTCCGCATGTAAGTGAAATCATCTAGTGTTTATCTTTCTGACTTAAATACGTTCTAGGTCCATCAAAGCAATATCTTTTCCATCTCTTTCCTTTTCCTATGTAGGGATCTTGTTTTCTTAGCTTTTCAGCCACTCTATCTTTTGGTTGGAGCACTTAATTCTTTTCCATTTAAGGTACCTAGTGATAGGAATGTAGTTGTTACTGTTCTTTATTCCTATTTTTGATACTTTTTTTTTTTTCTTAAAGAAGTCCCTCCGACATTTCCTGTAATACTGGCTTGGTGGCGATAAATTTCTTCAGCTTATTTTTGTCTGGAAAACTCTTTATCTGTCCTTCAACTCTAAATAATAGCTTTGCTGGATAAATTATTCTTTGTTGTAGATCCTGGGTCTTCATTCTGTTGAATATTTTTTGCCAAGCCCTCTGTCCTGCATAGTTTCTTTTGAGAAATCAGCTGCCAGTCTTATGGGGGTTCCCTTGTAGGTAACTATCTGCTTTTCTCTTGCTGCTTTTAAGATTTTTTTCTTTTTAGTTAACCTTTGGCATTTTAATTATGATGTATCTTGGCGACCCTTAATAGTGTCCCATATGCTCCTTAAATTATTTTTATAGTCTTGGCATCTTATCTCTTGCCATTCTGATTGTGTATCCTTGGCTTTCCTATCCTCTAGATAGGGCATTTGATCCTTTTCTTTATTTGTTTTGTTTATTTCTTTGTTTATTCCATTTAATATACTTCTCATCTCAGATAATACGTTCTTCTTTTCAAACTGGTTCCCTTTTACAATTTCCATTTCTGTTTTTATGTTTTTTATCTCTTTGTTGAAGTTCTCACTGAATTTATCTACACTTTCTAAGAGATCATTGAGCATCTTTATAACCACTGTTTTGAACTCTGCATCTATTAGATGACTTGACTCCATTCTATCTGGCTCTCTATTTTCTTCTCTCATATGGTTTTTGCTTCTTTGTCTTCCTATTTTGGCTGCCTTTCTGTGACTGTTTCTGTGTACTAAGCAAAGCTCCTAAGTCTAGATTATATTAGCATGGATTTGTGAAGCAGGTATCAAGTGGCACAGTCCTGAGAGGGGTTCAGCTGCAAGCCAAACTTAGCCCAAGCCTCTGCCCCTCTGGGCCACCTGTTAAGATTCAGCAAGCAATCCACAGATGCTGTGCTGACAGTTGCCTCAAAAGGCCACACCAGAAACCAAGGCCAGCTGCCTCTAGTATGAGTCTCAGCAAGGAGCGCCTGACTCACTGAGGATACACCTGGATGTGGTTTGAATGGGGCCACGAGTTGGGGAAGGCAGGGTTTCAGAGAATCCTCTGGGAGGAGCGACCTCTGTTATTCAGTTTGACGATGTCAAGGTTATGGTGGCAATGGGCCCAGCGTACTGGTAGTGAGGGAGGGCTCACCAGGGAACAATGAATACTGCTGGCACTTCTGTATCCAGTGAATCTCACCCCGGCCCTCACTCCAACGATGTCTCCCTGTAAGGTCTCCCTGTAAGTCCCTGGTGCCCCCTGTGCGCAGCCGAATTGGCACTGGTGCTCAGAGTGAGCAGGTCCGTCACCGTGAAAATCCACTCGCGGACACGGCCCCTTTAAGAGGCATCTGCTGCTGCCACTGTGGCAAGCTCCATTTCACTCAGCTGCTTGGACCGGGCAGCACCACATCCTCACCCGGTCCTACCTTCTGCCGTTGCAGGGTGTTTTCTCGAATTTCTCTCTAGTTATGTGGCTTGTTCTTCTAGATCCCAGGCAATTTTTCCTTGCTGCTGCTCCTTGTTTCCGTCAACTTTGATTTGGTCGCCAGAGGGCTGAAGAGAGCCTCTATCCTCTATGCCTTTTTTTTTTCGCTCAGAAATAACAATTTTTTTTGTACTTGATTCAGTTGCTAGAAAACTTTTAGGTATGTTTAAAACAATTTAGGTTTGTAAATCTATTTTTCAACTATAAAATTCATAAAATCTAAATACATATCAAATATTTCTGATGAAAAATTAGTGTCTGAATTGAGATATGCTCTAAGTTAGAATATTCATATTCTACTTTTAGTATAAAAAAGAAATGTGAAATATCTCATTAACAATGTTCTGAATACATGTTGAAATGATATTTTGGATGTTAGTTTAATAAATTATATTAATATATCCATCTAGCAGGCCATGGGTTTCTATAATTAGAGTTTTATGAAACACATCCATGCCAATTCACTTACATATAGTCTATGGCTGATTTCATGCTACAATAGCAGAGTTGGGTAGTTATGAGTGACTATACAGCCTAAAATAGCTAAAATATTTACAGAAAAAAGTCTGCCAACTCCTGAATCTAGATTAGAATTTACTAAAGATATAGACCAAAGGTTGCAACTGATATTCAGTTTGGACCATATATTAAGTGTTAATAGTGAACATTAAAAAATCTGTTTTCATTTATAAATCTAACCTTCTAGCTTCTCTTGAAAAACCGGAAGATCTAGCCACACAGGACACACATTACTGAATAGCATCAACTGGCGAGAGTGGGTAGTAACTGTCCTCTTAATAAAGATGGTGCACAGCTCTCCAATTTGCCACAGTCCTCACCTAACCTGAGCATAAGAGTTTGAAGCCACTCAAGTCATGAAATTCTTCATTTTCCTTCTCTTTACTCTTACATGCTGTGGTTGTTCATTTTAGTGTTACTTTGGCTAGGCTATGCTGCCCAGCTGTTTGGTCAAACGTCATTCTAGATGTTTGCTGTGAGGTATTTTCAGATGTAACATTTTAATCAACAGACTTTGAGTAAAGCAGATTAACCTTCAGAATGTGGATGGGCCTCATGCAATTAAAGACCTTAAGAACAAAGACTGAGACCCCCAAGAAGAAAGGTGTTCTGCTTCCAGACTAATTTCAGCCTCAACTCTTCCTTGAGACTCCAGCCTGCAGGCCTGCCTCACAGATTTCAGACTTGCCAGCCTCACAATCACATGAGCCAATTCCTTTAAAATAAATCTTTCTATATATCTAAACATACATCCCATTGGTTCTGTTTCTCTTGAGAATCCTGACTAATACACATACCTATGACCCATTACCCAGTTTTTCTGTATTAAGAAAAAAGTGCCTTCCTTCTTTTCAAGGCAAATGATGTCTTCTCATTCATTTACAGCTTCCTCTTGGTCCATCATTTGAATGACTACTCTCTAGACGTTATGACATCTATATACAAATATACAGCAAACCCCTTTAACTCCAAACTGGCTTAATTACAGTGCCATAAAATGTCTACACTTTTTTATCTATGTACTTTTGCTCGTAACAACCAAGGAGTCTAAAATGGCTTTAGCTTTTTTTGCCTTTCTGCTTTCTCAGATTTTATTTATCCTTCAAGCTCATGCAGAATCTCCATCTGCTTTGTCACTCCATCCAAAACTAATCTGTTCTTGTTTTATACTCCTATAGTACTATCATACAATTTTTAGTAATTACTCTATTGTAACATTATGTATTAGTTTTTTAAGTCTGTTATTTTTGTAACATTACTCTATTGTAACATTATGTATTAGTTTTTGTAACATTACTCTATTGTAACATTATGTATTAGTTTTTTAAGTCTCATGTTATTTTTTAATTATTAATGTGTTTATATTTTATCTCCCTTACTAGATTGTAAACTCAAATATAAGGCCATGTCCAAACTTTTGTCCTATCTCTGTATAATCTATCTAACACCATGCCTACTATCTAAAAGGTAACAATTTCATTTGGAAATCAGAAGGTCCCTGAAGTTACTTGATATAATACTGCTTTCTGAATAGAATGAAGGAAAGAGTTGCTCTAACATTAGTTCTTTTTTTTTTTTTTGTCTTCCTTTCCTTCCTTTTCTAATTTTTCCCCTTCTTCCCTCCATCCCGCTCTCTTTTTTCCAAGAGTATCCATGGGGCTAGAAGGAATCAGCAACCAGCACAGCTCTGTCATTGATCCTGCTGAGTTTCTGAGAAGTCATTTTCTGAGGGGATTAAGAATACTAGAATGTACACTTAATAGAAGTGGAGAATTTATCTACTTTATTATGATATCCTTAGTACTTAAAACAGAACATGGCACAAAGTAGGTACTCAAATAAATATTTGTTAAAAGAACCATTCCATATATAAACAATGAAACAGAATGCTACTATTTTAATGACCTTCTATTAAAGTACTTTAGATTGTTTGGCCTCAGAAATCCTTTAACTATTTTAGGTTAGTTAAAGACCATTATTTTAATCTTTAACCTTAATTTCTTTAATTAGAGGTGACAAGTGTGTTTTACTCTATATGCTTGATTTTTCACTATGACATTTTATCTTTGCCTCATATAAATCTGCATACTAATCAGGTTGCACCTTGGTAGGCAGCTAATCTAATCCTATGCACTTTGTGGATATACTCCGTAACTATCCAGAGGCTTGATGACATCAGTAGAACAAATTATAATACTTAACAAAGATAAAAAGTAAATTCTATTTCTTCTGTGAGCAATGTTTTGATGATTATTAAATATACATATTTAACATAAATACAACAAGACATTTTAACATAAGTAGTCTTAAGGATCTTTATAAAAATGAAATTCATAATTACGTATTACGTAGATTTCCAAAACACATTTAAAGTTCCAAAAGGCTATAAAAACTTTTGATGTGATTCACGACTGGATAGTAACTTTAAAAATTGTAATACAGGATTAGTCGTACCTTTGTTTAAGAAATTTTCTAATTTTACATTCATAGTAATCAATTAGGCAAAGCAACCTAAAAAAAAACAAAAAACAGAAAATAAACTGAATTATTTTTAAAAATGTGGTATTGTAGCATTTACTATTCTCTGTATAATTTCAAGTTATATTGATAAACATACAGATAATCTAGCAAGTTTATAAAAAATTTAAGTGACTTTGCCAGAAGTATACTAAATCATGTATTTTATGTTAATTTCAGAGTATAGTTTTTAAAATAATCAAACATTGTATCTCAACATATTAAATGTATATTCCCCTTATCCCAACAGTTCTACCTCTAGCAATCTCTCCCACAGAAATACTTGCCCAAGATTATAACTCAAGATGAACAAAGTTATTCATTGTACCACTATTTAGAAAAGTGAAAACCCAAAAACAATTATCCAACAAGGAAAGTTAATAGTGACACAACTATACTGTAGAAAATGATGAAGCATTAGAAGAAATAATGTAAATTTGTATGTCCTAATAAGGAGTAAGAGAAAAATTAATGTTGCATATCCAAATGTGTAGTACTATTTTTCTAAAGAAATAATCACATGTGAATTTGCATATGTATCAGGAAAACTCTACAGGTTCTTAACTGGGGGATAATACTATAACCTAGAGGACAGTGTTGGGTGTCACAATGACTAGTTGGGGAGGGGGCAGGATGTTAAATTTCATCAATAACATGACAGTCCTACACAATAAAAACCATACCACACAAAAAACCAACATCACTCCTGTTGTGAAACACTAGGAAGAACACAAACCAAGTATTAACAGTGGTTACCTCTAGGATGTGGGAATGCAGGGCTACAGCATTTTACTTAAAACACTGTTGTTTGGATTTTTATGAGCATACACTGCTTCTGTAATTTAAAAAATCCTCAAAGAAAAATAATATTAACACTATACTTTTACATGTTATTCTTTGTAAAGCAAGAATTTATACTATTTTGCTCCAATATTGGGAAACTTACTCACCTGCCCCCTCCTTCAAAACTAATTTGATTAATTGTGCTTTTAATATCATAACTTTCTGGAATATCATTTCTCTTCAACTTTTCCCCATTCCGACACATACCAGCTTTCATATTATCCTGCAAATATGCTTTAATCTCCTTTATATCCTTCACAAGCCCTCTCACTCCCTATACTTCCCCCTTATGCTACCATTCCATTTCTATCTTTTCCCTCATAGCAAACTCCGCTCATTCTGAGTTATTGTTATCTGCTACCTTCAATAAACTTTTGGGGAGCATTTATTATCTGTCAAACGGGGATTCTGAGCAAATAAGATGAGGGGGAAAGCAAACACATAAACCGATGAGGCAGTATGTAACACTTCTTACTACCCTTTCCTTGAAAATCTCATTCCTTGGTTATCCTAACACCAAAACATAACTTCTCTTTTGCCTCTTCCTTCTCTATGTGAAATTTGGAAGTGTTCTGGAGTTTGGTCCTTCTAACTGCAGGCCTGACACTTGTATATGGCTGACAGAAGGTATCTAAGCACATGTCCACAGATGAACTCATCATCTTCCCTTCCCACTCCCCAAATCTAGTTTGAAATCTAGCTATCTTTGACTCCTCTCCTTCTTTCAACTACGGCCAGTCAGTCTGGACAATTGCTGTCCATCTCTGCAATCTCTCTTCTTTCTCCTCTCACCTTCATTATCTACCACCTAGACTATTACAACTGATTACTAACTTGTCTTTCCGTCTCTGGGCTTAATTTCTTTGTTCAGAAATCCTGCTATGCAGAAAGTGGAACCCAAACTCTTCAGCCTAGAGTTTAAGCTTCTCAAAGTTCCAGCACACCTTTCTTTCCATATTGTCTAAGACATTTACTTACCATCATCTTATGCATAGTCCTCTTGGACTATTTACCATTCTCAAATACATTCCATTTTCCTGCTTCTCTAAAATAATCTTTCCCTCACCTCTATTAAAATTCTATAGTTCCTAATAGTCTAGTTTATAAATTACCTCTTTCATGAAGCCTTCCTGGTCATCTCTATCCTCCTCAATGAAAACTATTCTTTCCTGCCACACCCACTTAGTATCCTATTTGACCCATCATTACACCACATATCATGATCTGCATATTTTACTTATATCTACCAACTAGACTATCAGGTCCATAAATGCAGGAAATGTAGCTTACTCATCTGTGTATGTCCTATATTGTCTTGCCTAACGACTTTGGAACTTTTGACAATAGCTACTATAGTGGCTACAACTCACTTATTTCTAATAAGGTTAATTTACAATTTTAAAATTCTGCATCTCTAACTGAAATTTTGCTTTATTAAAAATCAAATAGTGTAGAGTCTCGAGCCATCAGACACATTCATATCTGAATTAGCTTGAATTCATCTGGTAAATGGTAAATTCTCTCAATGCTTCTTTCTCTTGACCTCTCACTCAAATCGGCTGTTTTGTGTGTGTTTTCATTCCTCTTCCTCCACTCTCTTACTACCCTTTCTCCCACTGTAATTGTCTTTCTCTTCATCTTACTGCTCCCCAACTTCTTTGCTCTTCTTTGTATTCATGCCTATCTACAACTCTATATGTTATTTTATTTATTTTTATTTTTGTGTGTTCATCCCTCAAAAGGATGAAAATTATATATGTATATATGTGTGTAGTTTCTCAAATAGTTATTCAAACAATCTATAGTTTTAACTTGATTTTCATTTGTATGTGACCTCATTTATTTTTACAGTAAAACAGAACTACCTAATTAGTAAAGATCGCAAGTTCTATTATATAAACACATAAGACTAGTTAAAATGTTTATACTGTTAAGTGGGAAAAACAAACAAACAAACAAACAAACAAGGTGCTACCTTTATACAAAAAGGGAAAATATGAATTTAATATCCACTAAACATTTAAAATTACCTAAGGGAGAAGTAAGAAATAGGGTTTATGAGGACAGGAATGAAAACACTTCTCTGAATATAATTAATTATAGTTTTGGCTTTGGAATTGTATAAATGTCTAACATGTTCAAAATCAAAAATTTAAAAAGCAATCTCTAAAAATTGAAAACAAATTGAAACAAATAAACCTAACTGTATATTAATTTGGTGATATAAACACAGAGAAAAAATATTTCAAGATAATTTTAGAATACTATATTTTGATTGTATCCATAGCGAAATGTATATAACATCAAATTGCAAAAAAAATTAAATTTCGTTCAGTAGACATATTGTTAGAAGTAATTCTAACAATTACTCTTTGGAATCTATTTTTATATATTATAGAATAAAGCAATTAATTATGAAATTATTCTTAGGAATACAGATTTTCAGTATAAAAGTTATAAATATAAAATCAGAGTTTAAATTAAAATCCTATAATGTTAACTTCAGCTAGAAAAAAATATATATTTTTTTCCCCAGGAATATAAAGTTCCTAGTACTCTCCACTAAAAAGTCCTAAAATCAATGACAACATAATAATGATAAGCAACCCCAACACCCAAACTATGATCTCTGAAAACCATTCCTAAAAGGAACCAGAGCTCTTTTGAGAAATGTCTAATTTTAATTTAGCTAATTTAAAACATTTAGTGTTAGTTTTAATAAATATCTGATTCCATTCCTCAAAAGAGCTCTAGAAAAAAATGTATAGGATGTGCTCTCTCTAAAAACAATAACTCTAACAAAGATTAATGGAGTTGGGTCAAAAGGATATTATACCAACATGAAAAGTTCCCAACCAGCCAAAGACAGCATAAACTGATCATTAAAAATCCCATAAATAACATTTGAAAAAAAAGAGATACAGCTACAAACAAAAAACTTTATTGTTTTTCACTGGAGATCATTAGGGCACCAAACTCTTACTCTAAAAAGTGTTTAAAATGAAGAACTGGGCATTGATTCTACCTTCCCTGAAACAAACCATATAAGGCAACCAAATACCCGCTAGTTGATAGGAAAGGTTCTTTTTGAAGGAAGAATTCCATCAAAAAAAATATATATGTGTGTGTGTGTGTGTGTGTGTGTGTGTGTGTGTGTATAAATATATAACTAACTAAATAAATAAATGTATATGTATGTGTGTGTGTGTGTGTATAGCAAAATTGAAAAGTCATGTGTGTGTGTGTGTGTGTGTGTATAAATATATAACTAACTAAATAAATAAATGTGTGTGTGTGTGTGTGTGTGTGTGTGTAGCAAAATTGAAAAGTCGCCATTTTGCAAAATCATCAAACTGTCAGATGAAAAGATAGAGAATTTTACAGTGGAAAAATTAGTTACTGTTTAAGCCCCTGAATCTTAGCATCCCTAAGAGTAAGTCAAGTAGATATTCTGTGCCTCTTGCTGTGTTACAATATAAAGTGTACATTACCACCTATGAAGTATTTTGCCAATAATACTTGAATCTGAATTTAGCTCTAACTTCTAGTTTAGAGGAAATGTAGGAGATAGGATATACTGGCCAGGTTCTTCAAGTTAATGACAAGGGAAAAGGAAAAATGCAGAGAAGACAGAAGGCAGACTCCTCCAGTTTATGAGACATACAAAACCATTCTCAAGATATAATCAGTTTAAAAAAAAATGATGACTCTATCTACATATCAATTTATGAAGCAAACGTTACTGTCTATCCAAGACGGTATGAGGAACTCTTTTGCAGAGAGAAGCAAATACTCTGTTTTGAGTGATAATGCGCTCTTCCTCCTCCATTGTTAATCTATAGATATCCTTTTGCAAAGAAGCAATAGTCTCTTGTTGCTCCATTCGTTTTCTCTTATAATGCTGACATTTTGCCTATAAGAAAGTTTTCAAAAAACATAATTATAGTATGTACATCTAGGACACACTGTTCTAACAATATTGTACACAAAACTATTTCACAGTTTCTATCAAGCTGCTTTGTTTAAGAACTTCGGTATTGAAGCTGTTTTTAAATGGGGGCTAGCTCCAAAAACATTAATGTCATAAATACAAAAATGTAACAAGTAAAATAGGAAGAAAATAGAGAAAATATAGTTTATAATTGCATGCATTCAAGGTTTCATAATAGTAAAAGAACCTAAGAACCTCCATAAAACTAAAGAAAAAGGAAATACATGGGAGAGTTTTGAGCTACTATGTTGAGAGCACATTGAAAAAAGCACAGGTAGAAGCAGGGGGACAAAGAGAAAAGCAGAAGAGAAATGAAGGTGACTTGGACCAGAGTAGAGACTAACAGAAGAAAGTTCAGAGGAAATGCAGGCACTCATAGTTTTAGACATGGAAAAGTCTAGATGCCTATGAGACATACAGTAGAGATATTAAGTAGGCAAAGGGATATGAGTCTGGAATTAAGGGAAAAGGTCTGGGTTGTAGGTTTAAATTAGGTGCTGTGAATTAGACTGAGCATCACCAAGGAAGTGAGAATATACGGGAAAGAGAAAAGGTCTAAGGAATTAGTACTAGGGAATCCCAACACTGAGAGGTTAGAGAGCTGAGAAGAACCAGCAAGAGAGTTGAACAATGACCAGTGGAGTTAGAGGGAAATTAAAAGAGAGGATATTCTAAAAACCAAGGAAACACTCTCAACATGGGATAGTGGTAGGTCAAAAAAGGGAAAGACCAGTGAATTAAGGAACATGGAAGTTACCTATGACCTTGATGAGCTGTTTTAGTACTATCAGGTAAGAAAATATGTAACTCAGTACCTGTAAAGCTTTATGTTCTTTTTGAAGATCTTTTATTGTATTCTGCTGCTGGCAAACCCTATTTAGGGATTCATCCTCTAATTCACCAATTTTGGCTTTCACACTCTCCATAATTTGTTCCAAATCATTAGCTCGTTGTTCCTGATCTACTGCTCGGCATTTTTCTAGCTGAAGTTCATTTCTAATAGACACACAATTCCTTCTTTAGTAATAAGAATAAATCGCATCAACAAACTTACTCATTTAACAATATAATGAATTTCTAAAATTTATTTGCCTTCTTAAAATTTCTCTTGTAACATAAAACAGAAGAAATATAGTACATGTCTAAATTAAGCTATTACCAAAAGATTTACCTATTAAAAAGTTTTTAAACTTAATATTTAATTAAAATGGACAATTAAATTTCAAGATTCTTTTCAAGGCAGTTATTTTTAGAATGCATACCACCTGGATACAAAAAATTCAAGAGAGATTTTCTTACTTAAGCTGTTGATTAGTTTCTATGAGCTCCTGGATCATCTTCTGTTGACATTCTGTTTCTTCTACCAATGTTTTCAAATTATGTCTCATCTTTTGTGATGACTGTTTATCAAAAATGATGAAATCTACATTTTTTAAAATGTAATACAAATAGTAAAAATAAAACTAAGGTAGATTATTTAAGATAAAAACATTTTTAAAGGAAAAAGCTTTTTATCATAAGGGGCAAGAACAGGATCTGATTACCTTTTAGATCTGTTCTTTTTACTAGCGATAAAGGTCTTAAGCCATGTGTCATCAACAGCATATTTATGTTCTCCCATTCTGCTTCTTCCCGCTATGATTACAAAGGAGAGAGAAAAGGATCAACTTATGATATAAAGAAATACCCTCTTGTATATAATTTCCTTTGTTTTCAGAACAAGATTTTTTCTCTAAAAGATTTTTAATATGAATTTATGCACATATAAAATTAAAACAATTAAAAAAAATACTTAGTAATTGCAGTGAACCAGACCTTAGGTTTTTGACTTAACTAAACAAGACCAGACCCCATTCAAAAGAAAACAGCTGCAAACTGGTTATATTACCTGAATAGTAAAGAAAAAGTGAGTCACTTAGAAACAAGTGTCATTTTAACATGACTTAGTCACCAAAAAAAAACAACAAATACTAAAACATACCTAACTGGTCAGAACCAATAATTTAGTTCCTTATATAATGGATATGGAATAACTATAAAAAGGAGTCTGTCCATCTACATAACTGATTCTAGTAGAATCACTCAGAGACACTCAAGTCTTATATCCTTGATTCTAAATATGTATACCATAAACCTCAGAGAGCAACTCTAACTCTCTAGATTAAGTGAATAAATACATAACAATGGGAAGAAAAAAGTAATAACATAAAATATGGATAGGAATAGAAATAGAGATGATTTTTTTTTAAATCACACATTTAAATCCATGATATTAATAGTTTTATAATAGGCTTTTAATGCTAAGTGATTGATTTTGAAATCACTGTGTGAGGTGCTTTATTTGCTTTTTAAGATATTAAGGTATATTTGTGAAAGAATAATTTGAGTGAATTTTCAGTGTTTAAGTGCGTGAAAAATATAATTTACACAACAAATACATTTTTATTATTGGTATAGTATTTAAATTTTGTAATAGCGTAAAGATTAATAATTTAGACAAAGCACCAAAAAAGTATTACTCTCCACATCCAAATGCCCCTGACATTAAAGAAACTATCAAGACAAAAAAGGAACAAAATATCCTGACTCTTTGATAATATTATGACTCAGAACAACACCAAATACATCTTTTTCTTTGACTTTCTTCTCCTTCTTTATCTTTTCTACATTTCTCCTCCCTCCCACAGCCTTTTCTCTAATTTATGCTTTAGGTCTTCTGGTCACAAAAATAAATGACACAGAACGAAAATTATTGCTGATATCTGTTTTAGGAGCCAAAAGCTCTATGTGGGTATCTCAGTGGATGTCTACTAAAAAATGCTTTGTAAATAATGTCACAAATTTTCAACGATTAAATTATACATGTTGTTGCCTGAAACTTCTTTTAAGAGAAAGAACAATATAAACTGTTTGCAAATTCTGAAAAGAGCTGAGAATGGCATTTTTCAAAGTATGTGCTGTAGAATACTAATCTAATGAAATGTTCATCAGACTTGTGTTAAATAAGTAGAAAATGCTGCATATTAAAGCCTCTTTTCGGAGACTGATAGTATTGTGAAGTCTTAGAATAATTAAATCACATAACAGTCTTTAATCAAGCATTTCCTTGAATTGTTTTACTAAATTAAAAAATCCTTTTAAAGTAAGATTTTTCACATTTGTAGACGTAGTATTCTTTGGTACATTCTTTGCAAAGCACTGGTTTCAAATATTTCAAGTTTACCTGTTTTTCAGTCATGAGTCTGATGATTTATTCGACTCCTGGGCTTTAGGTGCTGCTGGAGATAATAGTTTCGTTTGTAGAAACAAAGTAGAGAGTGGCAATAAAAAATTTTGAGTTGCCTAAATTAAAACAGAAAAAAGTACAATAGGTGTTAAAATTATATTTTAAAGAGCCCACTACTCTTGGGCAATTTAAGCCATTCTTGTGTCAAAACTTTTATAACTTCTTAGGCTGATTTAAAGAATGATTTAAAAAATGATCAGAATGAACATATCTTATAATATTCTCTTCCACAAATAAAACATTATGGGGTTTTACACACATCCCCCCCGCCCACACACACACACTGAAAACTATTTAACTGGATAATGTGAAAAGCACGTGAGGCTAATAAATAAAGTGTTACCTTTTGGAACCTGCTTCCAAAAAACCCAGAGAATTGTGTCTGACCCAAAGTTACAGGCAGGCCAGTCTAACACTTCACTGGAATAACTCCAAGGGTGAACAAAGTGTCACTCTCTTAGGTAGCCTTTATTTCTAAGTAGATCAGAGGCTAGCAATAAAGAATTCTGTTTGACTGGTACACACAAAAGTTTATATGCAGTCTACCCTACCATTATCTGCTCTTGTTATCTAAGACTCTGTCATTCTACAGAAAAAAATTTCCTTGTTTGATATATAGGTATAATTCTTCTTTCCAGAGACACACATTCATTAGCATCATGGAATTTTAGAAGTTGAGAGGACCTTGGAAATTGTTTAATTTAAATCTCTGTTTAATAGCTGACAGGCAAGAGTGCAGGGAGAGCTGTACCAATACATCAGGTACTATAACCATCTGAGGCCCAGAGAGGTGAAATGATCTTCCCAGGATTGATTAGAAACAGGCCTCTTTGCTGCCAGTTTACCATGTCTTCCAAAGCACTCTTCTGCCCTTCTATAGAGATAGAGAAATCCAACTAACAATTTACTAGTCACCAAACATTAATTTTCAGCTAACCCTATTAACATGTTATAAATTCTTAAATTCTGCCATTTTTGCTGCTTCACATCATAGAGTCTTCTCGCCCTTTAAACTCTGCTCTCTTTCAACAACTCAATATGTTTGTCCCTCTTGCCCTCATTTTAAATAAAGATCCTTTTTGAAAATGTCGGCCAACTTCAGCTGCTACCACCTTTCAGCTAGTTTTTTTTTTTAACTTGTAATTAGAGAATTTTCAAAAATACACAAAAGGAGAGAGAGTATAATGAACTCATGCATTTATCAATCCAGATCCAATGATAACCAACATTCTTCCATTCTTGTATCATTTCTTCCTCACCCACTTATATTTCTTATATAGCACTAATATACTTTTTAAACATAAACTCAATAGCATTAGCATACTCAATAAAAATAACAATTCCTTACTGTCAGTTACTATCTAGTCCATATTCAATTTCCCCCAAATATCTCTGATCTTTTTAAAGGTTTACATATAGCATTCTTAAGTTCCTTTTAATCTGTAACACTCCCACTCCTACTCCCCCCTTTTTTAACACGTCATTTATTTGTTGAAGAAACAGGCCATTTGTCTTGCAGAATTACCCATATTTCAGATTTGGCTTATTGTATTGTCGTCATTTAACATATTTCTCCATCCCTTATATTTCTTGTAAACTAGTTACATCTAGAGGCTTTATTAAATTCAGGTTTAGTATTTTTTGGCAAGAATACTTCAGAGCCACTGGTGCTGTTTTCTTCCTACTGCATCATCATGAGGAGTCAGCCAGAGTTTTAAAGTGAAAAGAATATACCATATAGATCAGACAAATGGGAGAGGGAGGGTAGATATCAATGTAAGAGAATCCCTCAAAAGAACGTGAAGCCACATATTCTGGCAATCTTCCTAACAGCCATACAGGACTTCTTTCAAATCTTCAAAGTGTCATCTCCCTCCCAGTTCAAGGCCTAAGCACTCTTAACCTCTTCTTCACTTAGTTAACTCATACTTGACCTTCAGATCTCAGCTCGAATTTCTTTCTTCAGGGAAATCTCCCCTGATCCCATGACTAGATCAGGTCCTCTTGTTATATGCTCTTGTAGCACTGTAAAGAATAAAGTATAGAAATTTAGAGTTTGGAGTCAGGTGGCCTAAGTGACTACCAGCTTAACCGCTTATTAAACTGATTGACATGGACCAATTCATTAACATCTTTGAGCCTTGATTTCTTCATTTGTAAAAGAGAGAACACAGTAATAACACCACACCTCATAGGTTAAATCAGCAACATGTAGAAAATATTTAGTATAAGTGCCTGACACGTAGAAACTTATAGATAATTGGTAACTGTTGTCATATATAAATATGCTGAATGAAATGGATCTTACCTAATCACATCGTCATAAATTATCTTAGACTTTTCTACAAATTACTCAGCTAACTATCTAGTACAAGTTGTTTTACATAAATATGTCTAGGTAATAATAAATTCCATGAGATAAGTAGCCTACTTTTTGGTAAGGGTATAGTAGGCAATTCTGCCTCTAATGACAATGATAAAGAAAGCCAAATAAAATGTTAAAAAAATTTTCTTATAAGCATTAAAGAACTAACAAGATAATGAGGAATTACTAGCCTCCTCCCCACCTCCCCCCCAAAATAGAGAAGAATCCACTTTTTCCCTAAAGGCATTTGCCAACTCTAAAGAAAAAACTATGAGAATGAGTGCTAAAGAGAAAAGCCACCACCCATTTAAAATTGTTACCTGGGCTATTAACTATAACTCTCAGTGTAAGGGTGAATCAGAAGTAAACCACCTCTCCTATGAACTGAAACCTGGCTTTCCCTTCTCTATGTCATTCCAGTATCTCAAGAAGGTCCAAGTTAATAGTGCTCCAAGGACCTGGCAGAAGCAAATGATACCTTGGGAAAAAGGCCTCAAATTATGCCCACAAAAACTGTTTAAAGTACAATATCCAGAAAATAGTCAAAGATAACCAACTCATATAGGAAACAAAACATAAAGAGAACAAAAGCAATAGTCAAAAGAAACTAATCAACAAAGAAAGACTTCTGATGTTGTAATTATTTGGCACAGATTGTAAAATAACTGTTACAATGTTTGAAGAAATAAAAATAAAAACTTGAAACTTCTGACAGAGAACTATAAAAAAAAATAGAACAAAAAATTACAATAATTTAAATTAAGATCTTAAATCATAGGCTTAGAGCAGAAGAGGAAAGTAAATGAATTAGAAAGGAAGTTAGAAGAGACTACCCACCTTTTTAGTTCTCTATGCTGCATTCAGGAAAACACAGAAGAGATGCAACTTGGCATCCAAAATTATATAGGAAAGAATGGAGCAGAAGCAGCATTTGAAGATACAACTAAGAAGTTTTGAGAGCCAATGAAACACATAAATCCAAAGTCTAGAAGCCCAATGTAATAGTGCATTTGGATAAAGGGGGGGGGATCACACCTATCATATTAAAGTACAGAAAAACAAAGACATAGAAAAAATTTTCAAGCAGTTATAGAAAAAATGATTATCTTCCAAGGAATGACAATTGGAATGTCAGCTAACTTCTTAGCAGTAAGAATGAAGTTTATGCACAATAACAAAAATATATTAGCTGGGAGTAAGGTAAATAGAAAAACAAAGTGTTCTGATTTTATCTATAATCCAGGAGAAGGGTTAAGGATCTATTAACACTAGGCTTTTGTAAGTTAAGGATGCTTGAGAATTTCCAGGATAACAGCTAAAGAACAGAACACAAATGTGTAATTTCTTAACTCATAAAGGGGAGAAAGAAACCATGATGAATAAAAATGAATCCCAAAGGAGAGAAAAATAAACAGAGAACAAAGACAAAAACATGATAATACAGTAGACTTAAACCCACATCTGTCATTATATTAAATGTAAATGGATTAAATGTTCCAGTTAAAAAAGACTGTCGAGCTGAATTAAAAAAAAAACCAACTATATGTGGTTGAAGGAAAAAAGACATCTAAACCATTAAAAGTCCATAAAATATAAACATACAGAATAGTAAAAGTAAAAGAATAAAGAAAGGATTGATAGCTTGGGAACAGCACAGTTTAATCTCTCAATCTCTACATAAAAAGAGAAGCAACTAGGTAACGATGACAAAACCAAAGAACAATATTTATATCAAAACGTAAGGGTGTAGGGACAAATCACTAACAGCCAGAAGAACTTCCGGGTATCAGCATCTGTGCAGGAAGACAAAAAAAGCAATACACAATATCTAACAGTTATATGAACAAGAGGATTCCCAAATCATTGATATTTGATAATATTCACTTTTACACTAACATGAAAACAGCAGGTAAAACTGGAAGGGATTTTGCCCTCTCTTGCCATAAGAAGGACTAAAAATGTTGGAGACCTTTAACACTTAAAATTGACATGCTAGGGCTCCATGACAGGACCCACAATAAAAAGAAACTTCTGGAAATGGAATAAAAATTGAGCAAGGCAGAGACAAAGGAAGGGTAGGTTAAGATCAAAATGAGATGGGGAACAGAGCCAGGAATTCTCAGAAAACAAACTACCATATTTTCGAACAGTACACAAAAGCAACAGGAGAGGGAAGTCTGTGGGCCACGACAAACAAACAAACAACCAAAACCTTCCTCCAAATATCAGGATTCTGTGATCTGATCTCTGATTAATGTTTTTGATCTTGGAGGAGCAAAAAAGCAGGGGTAGTTACCACACCTACCCTCACTGCTATAAGCCCCTACCACTCCAGCTAAAGTGACTTCCAGGGGATTTAAAGGACTGTCATTCTTTTCTTTTTCCCCTTCACTTTTCCCTTTTCCTCCTTTTGAGAGCCAGACATTAAAGACTAGGACATTTAAAAGCAAATGCATACATGAAGAATGAAAAGTTACTGCACATGCCCAGGGAAATGTTCGCACTGAAAAAGACCTGAGAATACCTTAAGTTTACACCTCAGGCTGACCGTCAGGGCAGAGACAGCCTACAACAATTTAAAAAAGTAATAAATAAACAAAAATGAAACCCAGAAAACCTTGGTGAAGGAAAATATGACTTCCAGAGTTACCGCATTATTAGATTCAAATGTCCAGTTTTCAAAAAAAAAAAAAATAACGAGGCATACGAAGAATCAGGAAAGTATGGACATTTAAAGAAACAAAAAACAAAAAACAGAAACTGTCCTTGAAAAACAAAAAAGACCTGATGGCAGATCTATTAAACAAAGACTTTAAACCAATCATCTTAAAGATGCTCAAAGAACTAAAGGAAGATGTGAAGAAAGTCAAGAAAACAATATATGAACAAAACTGAAACATTAATAAAGAGATGGAAAACCTAAAAAGAAATCAAAAAGAAATTCTGGAGTTAAAAAATACAATAACTGAAATAAAAAATTCAATAGAGGCTCAAAGGCAAATTTGAGTGGACAAAAGAATCAGTAAATTTGAAGGTAGGACAATGGAATTTATTAAGTCTAAGGAAGGAAAGAAAAAAAATTGAAGAAAAGTGAACAGTGCCTAAATACCTGTGGGACACCATTAAGGAGGCCAACATACAAACTGGTAGTCCCAGAAGAGGAAAAGAGGGAGGCAGAAGGAATATTTTTTAAAATAATGGCTAAAAACTTCCCAAATCTTTTGAAAGACACAAATACACATATTCAAGAAGCTCACAGAACTCCAAGTAAGAACAACTCAGAGACATACACCAAGAAACTTATAATCAAACTTTTGAAAGACAAAGAGAATCTTGAAAGCAGCAAGCGAGAAGCAACACATCACATACAAGGCATACTCAATAAGATCACCAGCAGATTCCTCATCAGAAACTTTGCATGTCAGAATGTAATGGGAAAATATATTCAAAGTGCTAAAAGAAACTGTCAATCAAGAATCCTATATCTGGCAAAACTGTCCAGAAGTGAGGAAGAAATTAAGACATTCCCAGATAAACAAAAGCTGAGGGAGTTCATTACCATTAGATCTACAAAAAATGCTAAAGGGAATCCTGCAGGTTGAAATGAAGGGACAATGAACAGTAATTCAAAGCCATTATGAAAAATTAAGTATCTCAGTAAAGGTAAATGGCATGGTAAATAACATGGGCAATTATAAAAGCTAGTATTATTATGAGTTTGTAACTCCACTTTTTGTTTGCTACATAATTTAAGAGGCAGATAGATATTTTAATATTCGCAAAAGCGAATATTATTGTAACTTTGGTTTGTAATATCACATCTCATTCTCTACAAAATTTAAGAGGCTAATAATGCACTTAAAAGAATTATTAGTTTATGTTTTGGGATACACATGTATAAAAATATAATTGTGTGACCCTGCATGACATCAACGACTGAAAGGGGGGATGGAGCTATAAAGGAGAATTTTAATGTTATTTAGGTTAAGTTGTTATAAATTAAATTACAATATTTTAACTTTAGGATGTTAAATGTAATCCCTGTGATAACCACAAAGAAAATAATGATGGAATATATACAAAAAGAAATGAGAAAGGAATTTAAACATTTTACTACCAAAAAATCAAAGAAACACAAAAGAAGACAGTGATACAGGAAATGAGGAACAAAAAGAGGATATGAAAAATAGCAAAATGACAGAAAGAAGTCCCTATTTATCAGTAATTACTTTAAATGAAAATGGATTAAATTTTCAATAGATTGGCAGAGTGAATTTAAAAATATGATCCAACAATATGCTGTCTAAAATAGAATCACTTTAGATTGAAAGACATGAAGAGGTTAAAAGTAAAAGGACAGTAAAAGAAATTCATGGAAATAACCAAACGAGAACAAAGGTGGCTATATTAACATATGTTAATATATGTTAACATATAACATAACAAAATAGACTTTAAATCAAAAAAGGTTATAAGAGACAAAATAAGTACATTACATATTAGTAAAATGTTCAATACAGCAATAAGATTTAACGGTTATAAACATTTATGCACTTAACAGACCATCAAAACATATAAAGCAAAAATTGACAGAATTTAAGGAAGGAAGCTCTACAGTAATAGTTGGAGACTCTAATAACCACTCTCAATAATGGATAGA